TTTTGCCTTGTTATACAAATCCATGCCCACTTTGTTACAGTTGATTAAAACCTGGGAGACAAGTGCCTAGAGATACAGTACATTCTTAAACGTGTCTTAAACATGGCAGTGAGTCTTACTCGTAGGTAAGTGCAGATAGGATTTTGGACTTTAGTGATTTCAAGTGTAATCTTACACTTGTAAGTAAATCCTTCTGATATCGGTTGTCCTTAAGTCCAGGTAAATGAGTATAGGATTGTGGCCAAATATATTAATGGGCAGAATATATGCTGATGGGAACCTCATGGCGCAGTGTTTAAACTGCTGTACTGCAGCCAAAACTGTGCTTACTACCTGGGCTTCAATCCCAAGTAGCTGGTTGAAGACTGACTCAGCCTTCCATCCTTCTGAGGTCGGAGTACCCAGCTTGCTGTGGAGGCAATGTGTAGCCTGCATAATTAATTTGTAAACCACCCAGAGAGTGCTTTAAGCACTATGGGGTGGTATTTACGAACACTTTGCTTTGATATTCCAGATGGTTAGCAAATTCAAGCCCTCTTCACATTTTAGCCATGTGCAAGTGTCAATTCAAAGATAATGTTGTCTTTTTTTAAAGCACCAAATAATAGAGGAGCAGGTGGCGTTTATTTTTTTTTAAATTATTTATTTGTTTGAAGTACTGTATTTATATTTTATTTCTCCATGACAAAAAAAACACTTTCTGCACAAAAAAATAAACACATCCAGCATGTTGTGAGTTCTTGTGCTCTAAAATTGATTTAGTACATTTTTCTATCTCTTCCATGTACTGTAATTTACCTTAGTGCTGTCCATTTGTTTTGTTAAATGTTTGTATTACTTGTAAAGTTGCTTTTGGTTCAGAAATGCAGGATATAAAATCAAATTTTTTAAAAGTTCCATATTAGTAATGCAGAGGAATGAGTGGAACTGTGCTGCTGGCTACTATTCATATCTTGAAATGGTGAATCTGGCAATTGGGTATTGCAATCATATACAGGTGGGTTGTACTAAATGTAATCAAATACAGTTAATATAATCCTTGTTCAGTTTTAGTTACAAATAGTCAAGTGCAATTGTTATACAGTAATACGAGCGGGAATGGCCATTCCATTCAAAGGAATGCAGTCTAGGAAGATAATTTGTTGTTACATGCTGTCAAGTCAGAACTATTCATAGTGACCCTAACAGAGTTTTCAAAGTAAGTGAGCTATCTAAAGATCATTTATGCCAGTTCCACTCCCCCAGTAATTTTCCATGGTTAAGCAGGGATTTAAACCTATGTCTCCTGAATCCCAGTCCATTACAGTGGTGCCTCGCTAGACAGTTACCCCGCATGACAGTTTTTTCGCTAGACATTGACTTTTTGCGATTGCTATAGCGACTTGCATAGCAGTGATTCCTATGGGGGAATTTCTCTGGACAATGTTTGGTCCCTGCTTTGCTAGCCGATTTTCGCTAGACAATGATTTTGACAGCTCCCTCCGCGCTCGCAAAACGGGTGTTTTGGGGACCTAAGCTTCGCAAGACAGCTATTTAAACAGCTGATCGGCGGTTCGCAAAGCGGCTTTCCTATGGCCGATCTTCGCTAGATAACGACAATTTTTTCCCATTGAAATGCATTAAACAGGTTTCAATGCATTCCAGTAGGGAAATGCTTATTGCTAGACAATGATTTCACTAAACAGCGATTTCAGTGGAACGGATTATCATCGTCTAGCAAGTCACCACTGTATTCTATCCACTTCAGCACACTGAGAACCCTTGGTAGAGAATACTCACCCTGATTTCAGTATTCAGTTTGTGCCTGTTGTTTGCATTCCAGAGATATGTATAAGCTCATTTCTAAGCTGTCAGTCTCCTTGGATGATACCAGGACAAGTACATCTGATTCAGCAGCACAATTCTGTGCAGGCATAGCTGAATAAGATTAAATAAAAAGGTGTTTCTCTTAATATTTGCTAATAAGAAAAGACTTCTAAATTAATGAATGTTTTTCAGGTGTTCATCCCTTGCTGAAAGCTTTCCAGTCATATTTAACCCATGCTTCTAAGCATTTCCTCTCTTGCAAAAAAAAATAATACTGTTGTCTAGATTTTGCATCCAAAATTCTCCCAAGTCTATCAAAATTTTTCACTGTCATGAAAAGCTGAAGTGCTGCTGCTTTCTTCTTTTCCTTATATGTTAACTGGTTGCTAATATTATATTCTCTATAGAATAGCTACAGGTAGGGATGAGAGAGAGTATATTTAGAAAGTTTCAGTAATGCTGAAACTGCCTGACTGCATATGGGTTAGAGAACATCAAAGATTCGGAAGTGCTTTGGTTTTTTTATAGGAGACTTCCATCCAACTCTTATAGAACTAACACACCACCCTGGCCAAGATCCAACTGCTATTGTTTAGTTAGCAGCCTTGAGTTAAGAGTTTTTTCCTCCAAAATTTTTTACAATAAGCATTCTGACACACCAAATATCTATCTATTAGCAACAGCAGCAGATTATTTAAAATGCAGTTTGCTTGGTCTAAAGTTCCAGATTATGATGGTGGGTGCAAGAGTTCCAAATGTCCCAGAACAGATTAACAGTTTATTTAGATCCCTGCTGAATTCAGACTCAAATGGGGCAGGGTTGCAGATCTGAACAAAGATAGATTGACACTGGTATTAGTGACATTTCTTTATTTTTACAGCACCCATTAGTACATTAGAGTGCTGTTTGGAGAGGATCTTAAAAGTATACCTGTGCTGCAGCAAAAACAACAAAGCATCTTCTGCTACTTCAAAGATTAATTAATTTAATTATGGGAGAAACGGGCTACGGGCTATAGGGTACCTTTGGCATTCCAGATGTTTTGGACATCAGCTTCCAGATGTCCCAGCCAGCATGGTCAGCTGTAAGGAATTATGAGTTTTTATCTGAAACATCTGAAAGGCTGAAAGGCCTTGCCTTAATAGTGCTGTGACAAAATTTGTTAATGTTTGTGACACCCTAATATTTTTGTTTAGTAGTGTAGTAGTCACTTTTAGAGAGCCAGTGTGGTGTAGTGAATGGTGTGACAGACTAGAAATCAGGAGGTGTGGATTCTGTTCCCTGCTTGGCCATGCAAACTCGCTGGGCGAGGTAGTTCTGGTAAAACAATTCAGAGACCATTGGTAATGTTGTGGCTAAATAAATAAATAAATAAATAAATAAATAAATAAATAAATAAATAAATAAATAAATAAAATCCTATTAGGGTTTCCATAAATTAGATACAATTTGAGAGCATACAAGTCACTTTTATATATATTTTTTTTGTATTTCAAAATAAATATGGTGTAACGGGATGTTCACATAAGAATAGGTACTTACTCTAGTCATCAAATTAATTCGAATACATTTTGTGGTTGACTCAACATCAGTTTGACAACTTAGGGTGTGACTACACTTAAATACAATTTTCCAAAGCAGTCCCTGCTGATTTCTGTGGGTGAGATCATTGTCACCATCGAGGGTTGGTACCTATGAATCTGTAAGCCGCCCAGAGACGTAGTGTGGGCGGCATATAAGTTAAATAAATAAATAAATAAATAAATTTTCATCCTAACCACTGGTGTCTTTGTTCTGACAAGGTGCTAATTGGCAATTTCTACCTCTTTTTTAAAAATTCTTTTTTCTGAGTGGCTTAGTGCTAATTCTTTGTAACAGTTCCTTTTAAATCCTTTAAAAAACTGGTTAGTGACAACATGCACTCCACCCACAAGTGCCCCTCTATATTGGATCAGGCAATCACACAGAGCAGAAAGTGGGGGAGAAATGATGCCTATGCAGAGCAAAATTTAAACCGCCCTTGCTGGCTGAACTAAAAAACAACCCCTGATTCTCCATATAAAGAGATGATTCCCCAGCAGGCTTCCCCACATTGAGCTTTGTGTCATGTAGTATCTGATTTTTAATTTAATTTTGTCTGTGCCAGATCTAATACAAATGGTAGATAAATTATCAATTCAGATGCCCCTTTAGCATCAGTTCAACATATTACTTCTAGTAAATAAATAAATAAATAGTAAGGCACAACAGACTGCATCCAGTGTTATTGGATCATGCAATAGAATAATTCAGTGTGAAATTTGGAATTTCCTCATCAGCTACTGCCCATTGAGCAAACCAAAACCTGCTTCAGTGAGCTGGGAATATGTCCAGACCTGGTTTTGGATGGCTTCTGGAATCTCTCCTAAATTATTCTCAGAAAACAAACTCTTGTGCAGCCTTCTCACAAAACTCCCATGTTATACTGTGAATGACTGAAAACCATGTTATTTATTCCTTGACATCTCAGCAAAGGGACATCAGCCAGCTTCTTACTGCACTGCATTGACAGGAAATCTCCTCTCCCTCCTCAGCTTATTGTCTACTAAAAGAACTCTTCTCTGAAACCTTGGAGAATTCTCAGCTGCCAGTAATTGTCAATGACATGGGTTAATGATCTGAGTATGGCATCATTTTTTAGGTCTTCAGCAAGTTGATGACCTTCCTGGCTGCTATAATTTTAATGTATTTATTTAAAAAAATGTTTACTAACACATTAGAAGATATTCTGGTAAGTGGTTCAACATAATATGCCCATTAATTTTTATCTGCAATATAGATCTCTTGCAAATATTAAAGCTACTGTCTTTAGTTATTTACTGGGAATATATGATTCAATATGTTTAGGTTCAGGATGTCACCTTCTTGTGAGTGATTATGTAACTACAGAGTCTTATCAAAACCTGTGACTTTTCTGCGTTGAGAAGGCTTTGGCTGTATCACATTTACACTGTTCTTGTAGAGTCACCTGCCTTGCATACTGCAGACTTCTTAAAGCTGGATTTGAAGAAGCAATCGGCTGACCACTATTAGGATCCAGTCTGACCATTGGAAAAGTGAATGCAGAAGCTGTGCTTTTGGCTTGCAGCCCAAGCAGTTGTTCAGGATTTAAACTAAAAACGTTTCTTGTTCCTCATATCCTTTACCTTTACAGGGTCATGTAGGGATAAAAAGAACTGTAAGGTGGTCTTTTCCGAAGAAGAACTAAGGAAGCGGCTGACACCTTTGCAGTACCATGTTACTCAGGAGAAAGGGACTGAAAGGTAAGGCAAGATGAGGGAGATGACACCAACATGAAGTATATGGTTGGCTTTTTGTCATGCTGTTTTCTCTTCTTCACAACTTGACACGTTTTGAAGAATTGTGTTGTTTACTAACTTACAGAAATTAACTCTACTAAACAGACAGGAATTTCCAGTGCAGAGGGCAGGGTCACAGACTTCATAAACATAAAATGACCACATTATTCTGTCTTGGCTCACATTTAGGGTCTGTTTTCAGTTTACTACAAAGTGTGTGGGAAGTAATGGTAGTTAAGAAGCTCATTTGTGTTTTTTTGGGGAGACACCACAGTAAGCAGAACCATAAGGGAAATAGGGAAATAGTCTTGTGCTTTAAGGCTGCAAATTTGATGGTGATCATTGTAAGTATAGACATTTCGGCTGGGGGAGGATCAGGAGAGAGGAGGTAGCACAGTTTCGCTCCATTCCACTCCAGTTTCCTTTTTTGAAGAACATGTGGAGAAAGTATTTATTGCCTCATTTGTGGCTGGAATGTCAAATATTTTCAATAACTGCCCTCACATGGATTCTGTCCTTGGAAGCAAGCCCTAAATCCTTCAGGAGGGGGCAGGGGGAGACAAAGACAAGAACTCACTCCCAAGGTTCTCACAGTAAATATAGATCTTCTCAGCTGATTCTATCATGACAAACAGTCACCTTTGGCAAGGCCTAAATTAAATTTTGGTGCCTTGTTCTGAGCATGAAGGGTAGAAAATAAATGTTCGCCTTGCTTCTGGTCCAGTAGTATTGGACCATGCAACCTTGTTTCCATACCAGATTCCAAAGGGTCCTTTCCTCACATGTGGGGTCCTAGTTAATTGGCAGCACCTTTCCTGTTGGAAGATACGTTTTACTGTATTTTCTGAGCGTGGAGCACTGAGGCTAAGCTATGTATACCTCACACTAACCTAGTGGTGGTGCCCTTTCCAACTCAGGAGGTCGTTCAGCCCAGTCATTTATTGTAGTATACAAAGTCAGTGAGATTATTTAGTGCCCACAAACAACCAGAGATTAGGTCATTTTTAAAAACCCTGTTTATAAAGACAAAAATTGGACCCCCATAAAAAGGGTGAAATGATAATAAAAACAAGCTGCCAAGCACATAGACTTTTTGTTGGCCTAGCACAGCTGATTTGTATTAGATGAATGACCTCCTAGCCTTTAAGATTGTTAACTTAGAAAAATATTCCCTTAAAGCAGTAATATTCTTTTTCAAATAAAAATACAAAGCTCACACAGCTTGAAACCATGGGTTAGCCTCCGTCTCCCCCTTTCAGTTTTATTCTTTTGGTACTTAAACATATTTGTATGTCCTGTCTTCCACAAAGGTCTTGAACTAATGCTTTGAGTTGCACTTAATGACAACAGATTTGGCACTAAGAAATAAGATTTAGAAAAGTTGTTAGAAGGGTGCTTAGGACTAAAATCTATTTTAAAATGACATTTGTACTCAGGTGCAAATTAAAACACTGAACTGAAAATGTCTAGTAACTAGCAAATGGTCCTGTGTTTTGAGGTCAGAACAATAGCTTCTTGTCCAATGTAGGAGACTTCTATGTTACTGTTCAGAATTTAATACATTTTTCAGTGAAGGGCAATAATGCGTAAATTATGATGTGCTAGTTATTGGAGAAAATATACAACTAGAACATACAGAATTATTTCAGTGTTAATGCTATTGGAATTCACTAATTGTCAGAGCTAATAGTTGTTCACAATCTCTCTCTCTTTATCACACTTGTCTGTCTCTAGTGCCTTTGAAGGAGAATATACATATCACAAATCTCATGGAATATACAAATGTGTTGTTTGTGGGACTCCTTTGTTCAAGTGAGTACATTCAATAGATATGAAACAAAGTGGTTAAAATAATTATTCTTCTTAGTTGTTAAGTGTTACATATGATCTGTGTAAGATAGTGGTTTCTAATCTTGATGGTCCACATATGGTCCTGGACTACAAACTGTGGGTAGCACAACTAAGTGGTGAATGCTTCTGGGAGTTCTAGTCCAGGAACATCTGGGGACCCAAGGTTGGGAAACCACTGATGTAAGATAAAATTGATTATTTTATTTTGCCTCACACCTTTGTGACCTAAACTGCTGTAACTAATGTACAACCTACTACTAATATAGTCTACTTGCTCTCACTCAGGGATATTGCTTCAGTAGATCTGGGGACCAGTTTCATTTCCTTGGAGCCTCATGGTGCTGCATCATCCTACTGCCATTATTTTGTGGGATAGCAGTGAGAATAAAACAAGATGCACAAGATGTGCATGTCTTGCCTTAAAGGAAAAAAAAAAACCCACTTATGATAGGTATCCAGAACAGTGATTTCTCCTTTGCATTTCTGCATACCTTGTTTTTGAATGAAAATAAGGGAGGTTACTGCCACCACATCGCTGAATTTCAGCAACACATTAAAAAAAATTATTTGGGTGGCGGAGGCCACAAACATGAACATGGGGTGCATGTGTTAGGCCATGCTTGCTGGAGGTTATTGGAGGTGCAGTCAAACACCTCTGGAGAATACTAGATTAGAGAAAGCAGTTTTAGCACTATGGAAGTAAATGGAGGAGAAAAAGAGACACCATTGCCTTACCCCTCCTTTTTTCCACCTGCATAGTTTGAGGGTTGTCATCTAGCAGTTCAGAACCAAATCAGACATGATACATGTGTCCATGAGGAATGGGGACTTACAACTTGCAACTCAACCTGCGACTTGGATCCATTTGTCTGAGTTGTGTTGTCAAGTCCCTGTGGTCCCCGCTGGCCTACCTGCTGCTGCCACCATCACTATCTTCAAAGACAGCACATCAGAGGGCCTTTCATGGTGATGCTCCAGCCTGCGATAGTCAGAGGGCAGGTCCTCTGACCCACCTCTTCATGTAAATTATCCTGGTGATACTCTAGCCTGCTATAGAGCATCATTAGGGCAACTTACAGGAACATGCAGCATCTCTTTAAAGAATAAAATTTTAAATCTTTCAGAACTGTTTAATAAATTAGCTGCTGTCCCAGATTTTGTTTTTGTTTTGAGTGGTGGTTTTTACATTAATTCAAAACTTTTATCTGGGAGCTTCACATCATGGATATCTACTGTGAATCCATATATGTTCTATTTAAGGAATCAGCATTTGTATATTCCCTTTCTCTTTCTCTGAAATTTCCCCACATATATTATTAATATATATATTATTAAGGTACATATGGTCATCTCACTGGCTTTCCCTGCAGTCTTCTTTTAGGTGCTGTATGATTCCCTCTTGCAATCCTTCTATACTTCATTTCCTAATGCAATTTTCCTTGAATCACTTGCCATAATTTATAGCAATGTACTAAAGTACCTTACAGTTACTAGTCTGATCTGTTTCAGAACAGATTCTCATGGCACTTTTAATACAAACAGTATATTTTTAATCATAAGATTTGTAGAATTACAATTCCCTCCTGCACGTGCGTGTAATAATGTACTGGCTGAATGCCTGCTGTAGAGCTCCTCATGCACAATGGTGATGATATCAGCAGCAGCAACAAATCACTACTGATGAAAGGTTCCTTTGGTGATTTTTGGGGAGCAAAGTTGTGCACATCCCTAAAATTGCCTTTAATTAGTAGCAATTTGCTCATGTGAAGCTACACAACAGGATTTTAGCCAATGTATAATAGTGTAGTGTTACAATATAGTGTATTATAATATTAGAGATCTAGGTGCATATACATTGTGTACATGATGGGAAGGGGGTTCAGAGTGAACTGAATGTAGAAAATAACAGTAACATAATTACCACTGGCCTTAAGCAATTAGTGTAGACATCTTGCTAGATTAAAAATAAATCTGTCAGTTTTAATGGTGTCATAAGACTGTTTTTCTGGACACGACTGAAAATAACACTGAAGCAAAAGTCATAATATGTATATTACCATTTGAAAACAGCATTCAAATGCCAATGAGATTTTAAAGTATTGGGCATCAACTTAGGAAGCTTGGTTCAAGCTCTCACTCAGCCATGCAACTAATTTGAAAAAGAGGTGATTGCTGGTGAGGATAAGACAGAGTTGCTATGTTATTTTCCATAGCATTCTGGTATTTTAGCTGGATGCCAACGTAAGGAAAGTAAGATGTGAAGAAAACAAGAGGAGATGACAGATATAAATTGTTGAGCTTACACTTGCTGTGAATCTTAGACTTCCAGAAATGATTTCAGATAGCAATACAGAAATAATAACTTTCTTTTGGAAGGACTAACTGTACTGTTACCTGTCTTAGGAGTGTGGTATGGCCCCTTTAATTTCTTATCCGGATATCATGTCCTATTAAGTTGAATTAGGTTGTGATTAAAGTTTAAATTAGAGGGAACAAAGTTGATCTAGAATATTTTCTAGTAATAATAGAATTTTTCATCTCTATCTCTGATGGGCAACTGTACTTTTTATTTTCTCTTCTGATTCCTGAACTCCCTCCCTTCCTTCCTTCCTTCCTTCCTTCCTTCCTTTAATTATATACCACCCCATTAGTGCAAGCACTGCCCTGGGTGACTCCAGTGGTTTTTTTTAAATAGAAGAATGTCCTTTTTACTCTCAAAGAATGGCTGCAATTTGCTGAGAATATCACCAGTAACCTGTACCATATGGCAAATTTTTATTTTTTCTGTTTGTATGCATTAGCAAAGTACATGGTAACTTAGCATGGTTCCCATGTTTTATTTGTATGCACCAGCAGCATACCTGACAGCTTTTAATTGTTCCCCTCTCCCTGTTCATCCCTACAACAATTCTGTGTTAACAATATTTCTGGTCTGATTAAAATTTGTTACTAATTACAGTTATTGTTGCCGAGCTTAATTGAAAGCAAACAAACAAAAGCATGTTTGTTGTTTGGTCTGCTAGTTGAATTCCTTCAAGTCTTGCATTCTTAATTAGTGGACACTATAGAAAAGTGATAATTATGCCTTGCAATGTAATTTTTGCAGTAAAGCCAGAAATGCAGTGCACATTGTAAGAAGACCAGTGCACAGCTATGTAATTTGTGTTGCATATCCTGCTTGCTAGAAAACTCTGTAAAGCAGATATTGCTTTGGTAGGCCAGAGGTATACCTGCGTCAGTACTATATGTGACCTAAGTATATTTCTTTCTTGGCATCTCTTCTTAGCAAACACCCTTTACAATGCATAGCAGGTTTAAGAAGTACCTTGAGAGCTGTGAAATGTATGAGCAAGTGAAGTTTACCATGAGAAAGAGTGTGTAAGCAATAATACCATCATCACATACAGTACATATTACTTAATGGACAGAGAGTAGGTAGAAAGTTTGGGGGAAGACACCTTCAGCTCTCCATTATTCAGCAGGGGCCACTCACTCCTAGAAGATGCTTTACAGGGGCCCGAGTCCTCCAGATGGAGAAAGAGGTTTTTTGTTTTTTTTTTCAAAATCTAAGCCATGTCTTGTACTTAATCATTTTGTATTCTGTAAATCAAGGCAAGCATAATATTTTAATGAACTCTATTCTGGCTTTTGAATTATATTAATTTAGTATGCTACCAAAAAAATGTGCTACAGTTTGGCCCTCTGTCTTCCTGAAAAATAGCTTGAAAGAAAAATCGTTAGACAGAACTTAGCCATTTATCAATAACATTCTGCAATCGAAGCTTACTCATGTTATAATTCACTGATAAAATGGCTGGTCATATTTGAATAAAAACAGTAAAGTAAGGCTGTGCCTTATTTCATAAGCCAAAATTTCCTAGACCCTGCATTGGTTCCATGTGTTCTGGAATCCACCGCCTCCATAGAATTTAGGTTGCTGTCTCCCATTAGTTAACCACTGATATTTTACTCTATTTTGAGAATTCCATGTCTGATCTCTGGCATCCTTCATTGCTGCAGAACTTAGAAAAGGTATCTTTTTGGGGTGACAAATACTAGTATCTTTTTTGTTTCCATATTACTACATCGTTATGCTGGGAGGTCTGTTTTTGCAAACACACCTATTCAAGAAGAAAATTGTGACAGAAAACCCTGATAACTGTCTGTGCAGAGAGGATAATAATAATTATTTCTTTTAAAGTATATGTTATGGAAACAAAAAGGGCACCATTGGCTCAAACCCAAAGGCATCAAAGCAGGGGTAGAGAAACATGTATTACCGTCCCACCTAAGGAGAAATGCTTTTCAAGAACTTCGATGAAATTGTCTATGAAGTGGCCCAGTCCAGGTGGGAGATTTCCTAACCTTGGGCAACCTTTACCCTGAAAAGAGGTGAGAAGGTATGGATTGGGCCAGGTAGAAACTGACAGCTTACTGTACACACTTTCTTTTTGAAGAAGAAAGCTAGACAACAGTTGACTGCCTGTTGATTAATACTCCCAAAGGCATTCTCTTTCTTTTTCTTTAATCATGGGAGGCCACCAGTTGATCTCCCCTATCCCATTAGCAAGTGACCCATGATAGAGAAAAAGGCTCCTCCCTTCTTAAAGAATGCTTTTATGAATAGAATAAGTATGTAAGTAAAACAGCACATGAGAAAGAAGTGGTCATATAAATAATACCTTGATTGTAGTAGTAGCCTTCCCTCCAGTCAATTAAGTCTTTCTCTCTCTTTTTTCTTTGCTATTCTATCTTGGTAATCCTCTCTTTAAATTAATTGTTTTAAAGTGAAATTTGTAATTTTAT